TCATTACCACATTAATAATGGTATGTTATTTTTGACAATTTTAATTGGAATCTCAGAAATGATAATGCATAAATGTCCTTTCATGCTCATTACCACATGAATTATTTACCGAAGATAGTAACAGAAATACGAAGGAAGAAATGAATTGTGTGAAGCGTGAATAATACTATTGTTTGTATCCTAGCAAACGTTTGAGAACGGTAATCTTTAGTTCGTTTGGCATTGCATTGTATATAATATTTCTATAGGTGGTCTCAGATACACCGTTATCGGATCTCTATCTAATGGACAATGCGTAAAAAACACTGGACAGAGACAATGGAGGGATGGCTATGTTTGGTATTCTATCGCATACAATGGAAGGACAGGTTGGGTAGCAGGGAAGTATCTCAACCAAGCTGCATCCAGTCGATGCGGTAAGTGTAAATGGACATGTGAAAATAAATGATTTTGTATGGCAAATCAAAAGAACTTCGTTGGTGGGAAGATGGCATCGGTCCCTATAGAGGTTTCATTATAACTTGGGATATAGCACTATTCACAATTTTAAAACATGTGTATTTTTATTCATAATTTCAATATGTTCCCTTATTATTGTAACTCTAGTGATTAGGGGTGAATAAATATACAATAAAATACACTATCAAACCATATTACTGTTTTTATCTATTATATAGTTGTCAAACAAAAGGAAAAGAAAATCGGGAGAAATCGTAATTGTATATTTGGTTTATCCTTTGGGATGATGATATGTTCCAATATAAATCTAAATCCAATAAACAATCCCTTCCTAGGTATAACCTTTATATATACCCTCAACTTTAATTTCTTATCTCGATGATCTTACTGTAGGTGGAGGTGGGAGTGGCGGTGGTGGCGGGCGAGGTTGTTCTGCGATTATATCAAGGGCAGGTTGGGGAGCACGGCCAGCAAGGGGCAGATCTTCAATTCGAACTCCAGTCAATATGGTATTCATCCATCATACAACAGGAAGTTTCTGTAACTCGAAGTCTTCATGTTCACGTTCGGCGAGAGGGCATCAGAATTATCACATGGACCGAAATGGTAAGCTACTATTGGTTGAATTTAATCGACACGAGAGTTGATCAATTAGTTCTACATTTGTACGGAATACTTAAGACATTAATTTTATCAACAAGAAGAATATAAGTAGAAGAATAGATTATGGTTGAACCATCCTGATATGTTTTACCGATATTAGACTTTAACGAACAATTATATTCCTAGGATGGTCCGATATTGGCTACAGTTTCTTGGTTGGCGAGGATGGTAACGCATACGAAGGCCGTGGGTTCAGCACCGAAGGTGCACACACATACGGATATAACAGAAACGCCATCGCGATCTCATTCATAGGCAACTTTGAATATAGGAACGCAAAAGCAGCCGCCCAGAGAGCTGCAAAGGACGTCATTGCATGTGGAATATCAAGAGTAAGTAAACATTTCATGGAGATGATCTACTCACTTTATCATTCGAAATTATAGCGCATCTTTAAAGACGCTAAGTGGTCCGATATGATTGTACGATCACTATTCAATTTATTATTTTGCTCTACATGATCAAACCAGAGATGTACCAGGTCTTAACTTGTTAGTTATTTGGTCTGACGTTATCTCTAATAATGAATCTACCATTCACCGCATTGATTCTAATTTTTGAAGTTCTGTCATTACAGGGTTACATAAGCCCGAATTACGAACTCTTTGGTCACAGAGATGCTAGTTGCACGGCATGTCCAGGAAAATACCTGTATTCAAGCATACAGAGTTGGCCAAGATTCAGCAGAAGGAGACTAAAGAAATATAATTGCTGAAAAATGTTGCATCGATGATTAAGCATTGACTCTTCTTTTTGCACGTATGCTTCAACCCTAATGTCTGCAACCTTTTTATAACATTAAGTCATAAGGGATTTTGCGATTTTTCATTATTTGTTTGATTTCAATATTGTTGGTATTGTTGTAAATCTTATTAGATTACCTCTTCAGAATGTATTGTTTTTTTAAAGTAGGTCAACAAAGGTCAAATCGAGGTCAACGTGACCTAGGGGTTGTACTTTTTTTTAGATTTTGTGGAACATTGTCAATTTTTTCACAATAATTGTTTAGTGCCAAAAATGCTTAACTGTCTCAATGAATAATTTATTAGCTTTCGAAATAAAACTAAAATCATGGTAAAAGCTTTTCTAGAACTGAAGTTATACACTTTCAAAGATTGAATAGTCAACAATTTCAAGTTAATTTTCTTTTTGTCTTTAACAAAATTCTAATTAGTGATTTAGGAAACAGATGTACGAGGGGTGATCAATAAGTAATCGACGCTTTTTTACACAGATGCTTTTTATAGACCGATCCCTTCAATGTTCTTACCAGTGATACATCATTCAATTATCTATCAACTCTGAAGATTTGAGAACAAAACATGTCATATATTTTGATATACACTCCCCTTCCATAAGTTTGGAAACGTTTTTTCCCCCATTGAACTACGTGTTAAAGCCTCTTTACCTTTGAATTTTTATTTACTTAACCTGCGATGAAAATACTTATACTATTGATGGAAACGTAATTTGACTTTAATTCCAATACCTCCAAATTTAATAATAATTTCTCCTATAAAATACCTTAGCTGTCACATTTGCTAGGGCAGTCCTACGGTATTTAACTACGGTTGCCGTACGCGTACGGCTGATAAATGATGACGCACGGTCAGCGTTGAGCGGTCCCAAGGTCCATACACATTATTATCAAACTTAATGAAAGCAATGACACGAATTACCATAAATTGAATAAATAAAATAAACTCAAGTAAAATCCCAATAAAATAATGCTTTATGCTTCTGTTGAAGATGATATATGTGCCTGCTTGTCATCTTACAGCTTACTGTGATTCTTGACCCACGTCTTTTATGAGGAAAGGAGACTTTAACATGGATAATCATTTGTACAGTGGGAAACATAAATAATTACTATTAGCTATGAAAAATACATGCTGTCGCAAATGTAATAAATTCTTACCTCAGTGTATTCAGTGCTTTATTTTTTCCGTCCTAGTAAGTCCAAATACAAGGGGCGATCCATATATTCTGATAAAAATGCTCTCATTTTGTGATTTTTTTTCACATACCCCTCTCTTTTTTTCAGAAAATGTAGATTATGTAATTACACATACAATGCTAACATATTATAGCTGTATCTTAAATTATCAATGAGATAAGGTTGCCATGGTAACCTGTATTAAGGGTAGGCAGGTCAATTAAATTATAACATGTAAATATCATAATAACTTGTTATTATTTTAATTATTTTAAAGCATGCGGAAATCATTGGTATTGTTACTCGTTGTTTGTTGCTAAACAAATGTTTATATGTGCTCACTATAACATCACAACAAATCACAATGGCATTATAGGACAGAATGGGCCATTAGATTTTATTTTCTTTCAAGAATAAGTAAGAGGACACTGTCAGAGACATACATGTACTCATTAAGTGCATGGGCAAGGTGTTATATCTGCATAAAGAATCTATAGGTAGTATTGTAAAGAGGAAGGCATGGTCAATGTTGAAGATCATACGCAATCTGGTTACAAGAAGAGCTTGCGGCCCGGATAGAGAATAACACTACGATAAATTGAGATGTTACTTATGAAAAGATAGCTATCCCACTGTATAAATTATCCAACAAGGCCAACAGGGGTATGGAACAGATCAATGGATAGTTGGCAATGACTTGAAGATGCGTTTGATCTGCTTAAAATAGGTACCGAGGAATGATTAGATTAACATATTTATCTATTTTAGACGCTATAATTTAACTGACCTGCCTACCCTTAATACAGGTTACCATGGCAACCTTATTTCAAAATTGATTTAAGATATAGCTAAAATATTTGAGCATTGTATGTGCAATTACATAATCCACATGTTCTGAAAAAATGAAAGGGATAATTGAAAAAATCAGAAAATGAGAGCATTTTTATCAGAATATATGGATCGCCCCTTGTATAGTGAAATTTGTGTCCATAATGACAAATAGGAACTTAAAAATTTGAAGTGGATATTCACATGTTAATGTGTGTTAATGCCGACTCTTCAAATGGTCAGGTGATTTTGGAGCCCGAAACTTACGCTGCAGGGAGGATTGGCTCCCAGAATGCAACATCACACGTGCCAGCTTTTAAAATGCCGTTCCGCCATTTTGAAACCTGTCACAGGTAAATAAGGTTAACTGATTTTGCATCCTGGGAGTCAATCCTCCTTGGATCACAAACATGGCGATTCATGAAAACATTCGTTCGATTTGGCAGGGATTTATCCATCATTTGCAAGTATGAAGCTTTGGATTCATTTATTGTGCTACTTAAAGTGAACGGGAATTATTTTTCTACCGCTTGGGAGAGTTTGAGACACGAAACTTAGAATTTAGCTCATTGTGACAACTTTTGATGGTTGAGGTGTATTATTGTCTCCCACTTGAATGTCAATTCAAGTGTTGTTATTTTCATACCAAATGTGTTTATATTACGAATTTATGACGCTCTTTACACGGACTGCATTAATTTTATTTTTACTATTGCACTTAAGTTTTTGAAATATGCGGCTTTTTTAAGGTCTCGAGGAGTTATTAAAAATTTACACAAAACAGGAAATTAAAAAACATGTGGACTTTTTTGAATTTTTGATCACAGATAAAAAATTTCTGCTTTGACCTTAAAACAGCGTTACTACTCCTGTATATCATTTACGGTACTTGACCAGGATCACGATGGTTATTGGCGGGACGAACCTTTAAATAATAAGTAAATTTTTCAGCCCTGAACTGAAAAATAACTAGATTTGTGAAATTGAACAAGTTCAATTTAAGACTCCAGATTTATTTGACCTAAATAGATCAGTAAAGAGCTGAGTAAGTAACTGAGTAATTAGCTGAGTAAGTACCTTAGTAGTAGTTGAGTTAGTAGCTGAGTAAGTATCTGAGTAAAAAGCTGAGTAGGTAGCTGAGTAAGTAGCTGAGTAAGTAGCTGAGTAAGTACCTGAGTTAGTAGCTGAGTAAGTTGCTAAGTAAGTAATAACTAATTAAGTAATTGAGTAAGTAGTCAAATAAGTAGCTGAGTAGGTAGAGAGGTAAAGTAGGGTATGCAGGGATTTTTGAAAGTATATTTGATCAATCTGCATCGTGAATACTGGCAAGTGCGAATTTCAAACTTCAAAATGGCGTAGAATCTAAACCGGGGGTCGGATTGCAATTTTAATTTCAGATCCGGATTCCTGAGGAAATTCTACCCCTAATTCATAACTCATACTTTAAAATTGGAGATTTTTTTATTTTGACCTACATTTCGGACACCATATCTCAAAAGTGGGTCAAAAAACTTATTGACGGCAAAATGTTACATTATTAGCACACTCTTTGCTACAAGTATACAAAATTTCGGAGAATATCATTGAAGTGTAGTGTCAGAATCGCAAAATAAAAAAAAACTATGAATTTGACCTAGATTTTGAACTAGGTATTTTGGTGTCCAAACTTTGAAGGAAAGTAGCTTTTGAGGTCCCCTTCTTCTATGGGCTTTCATTATGTTTAGCTGTACTCATTCTTTATATCGTATTTTACACTTCAAAAAATTATTCGGTCCCATTGATTTAACATGGGGCACCAAATTTAGCGATTTTTGAGATCTCAAAACGCCATAACTTCAGAACAAGTAGTCGGACCGAAATTTGGTTTGCAGATCTAGATTTCTGAGAAAATTCTACTCTTAATTCATAACTCATACGTTAAATTTGGAAAACTTTTTACTTTGGCCTACTTTTTGGACACCATATCTCAAAAGTGGGTCAAAATACTTTCTGACGGCAAAACGCTAACACTATTAGCATACTCTTTGCTACCTGTATACAACATTTTAAAGCAAATCATTTAAATATAGCGTCAGAATCGCAAAAATAAGGGATAACTATAAATTTGTCCTAGATTTTGAGCTAGGCATTTTGGTGTCCAAATTTTGGAGCTAAGTATCCTTTCAGGTCCCCTTCTTTAATAGCTTTCATTATATTAAGCTGTACTCAGTCTATATCTTGTATTTTACACTTCAAAAAAATCTTTTTTTTTCCATTAACATAACATGGGGCACCAAATTTAGCGATTTTTGAGCTATCAAAACGACATAAATTCCAAACCAAAAGTCGGATTTAAATTTGGTTTGCAGATTTGGATTCCTGAGAAAATTCTTCCCTTAATTCATAACTCATACGTTAAATTTGGAGAACTTTTTAGTTTGACCTACTTTTCGGACACCATATCTCAAAAGTGGGTCAAAATACTTTCTGACGGCAAAAGGCTAACACTATTAGCACACTCTTGGCTACATGTATACAAATTTTCGAAGAATATAAATAATCTGTAGTGTCAGAATCGCAAAATTAAGGAAAAACTTTGAATTTGACCTAGATTTTGACCTAGGCATTTTGGTGTCCAAATTTTTATGAAAAGAAGGTCTTGTGGTCCCTTTCTTTTATGGGCTTCCATTATGTTTAGCTGTGCTTAGTCTATATCTCGTATTTTACACTTCAAAAAAATATTTTTTCCCATTGAATTAACACGGGGCACCAAATTTAGCGATTTTTGAATTTTCAAAACGCCATAACTTCTGAACCGGAAGTCAGATCGAAATTTGGTTTTCAGATTCTGAATCCTGACAAAATTCTACCCCTAATTCATAACATATACGTTAAATTTGGAATTTTTTTATTTTGACCTACTTTTTGGACACGCCATAACTTCCGAACCGGAAGTCGGATCGAAATTTGGT